CCTCTGAGCCGTTAGCCTCCTCCTCTGAGCCGTTAGCCTCCTCCTCTGAGCCGTTAGCCTCCTCCTCTGAGCCGTTAGCCTCCTGTTCTGAGCCTTTAGCCTCCTCCTCTGAGCCGTTAGCCTCCTCCTCTGAGCTGTTAGCCTCCTCTTCTGAGCTGTTAGTGAGAAGGCTGCAGAGGAAGTCAAGTTCTTCGTGGTCCTTAGTTGATGGATGTTGGGATTCTATAGGCAACATTTGAGCAAGACGTTTTTATTAATGACCTCCACCAGTTTTTACCAGTTTTAAATGTATTTCTGAGATACTGTGGGTCAGTGCAGCTTGTGTTCTGTGACCTTTGAAAAGGATCTTCCACTCCTTCTGTTCCTCCTCAGCAGACCCACTCCGGTATCATAAGAGGAAACAGTGATGTGGTTTATTGAGCTGAAAACCACCAGCGCCTCCTTGTAAAGACCAGATCTTTGGTAAACAAGCAGTTAAATATCTGCACCCCCCCTCCCCCGACATGTATAATGGAGGAAGATTACATTTTCAGAGCCGAACAGATGAACTAAATGCCTCTGTAGTGTTTAAGTGAGCCACTGCTGCAGGTTGTCTGAGGAACGCCCCCCCTCCTCATCCTGGTCCTGTGCTACCACAGGGACCCCTGCTGGCAGACACACCCATCTACAGCCCCTCACCCACCTTCATCCTTCACCAGCACCTGGAATATTTCCATACAAATTACCGTCACCATGGCAACTGTCCAGCAGAGGTTATTTCCCAGCTGATACGGTGGCACCGTGCTCTTCATCAGTGTGGATCTTCCTCCTCATCCTGTGAGGAGCAGAGGTGTGCTGCTCGTTACGGATACAACTGCAGCAAACTGGTTTTATACTGGTCCTCTGGTGAAGAGAACAGAACCAGTAATAGTAGTCCTCAGAGACGACTACTAAAATACTCTGACAGGAAACAAACCATTTCTTAATTCCAACATTTCTTTCTGGACTGTGTCTACAAAGAAGACAGAACGTAGGTGAAAGACGATCACCTGCCCCAGTTAGCTGTGGCGGCCATCTTGAAGTGGTGGCACCAGATATTCTTCATTAGTGCGTGTCCGTCCAGTGATTATTGGGATCTGTCCAGTGGTGTATGAAATGTTTTACTAACAGACAGACGGAGGCTGTTGCATACAGTAAAGCACAACTCCACAAGGCTGCGAGCTTTTCATCCTGAACAAGTTTCTGATGTCCCTGCAGTACCTGGACTCTGTGTGGGACTCCTGAGTACTTGGCTCCTGAGGTGATCCAGAGCAAAGGCCATGGCCGAGCAGTGGACTGGTGGGCTCTGGGGATCCTGGTCTTTGAGATGCTGGCTGGGTGAGTTCTACTGCTGTCACACACACACACACACACACACACACACACACACACACACACACAC